CAACTTACATCCATTTAATTACCTGCTGCAATGAATGGGAAATTCATTCTCATGATTGGTTTTCAATACCTAGCAAGGATTAATCTCACAGGGGACTGCAATGTCAATCATAATGGAAGTTTTATGTGATATGGTGCAAGGAAAGGTTTTAACTTGATTTCTGCCTTTCCTAAACAGCTGGAAGCATACTGTTACCAACTGTCGCCCCTGCTGCATCTACACTGTCCAAACAAGAACAGGATAGGTTAGCAATGCCGCCTCCACCAGCGCCCCAGTTATCTGCATCCCCATCAGGCGAGGGAATGGCAGACCGTGACAATGCTGAGAAACAATCATTAACTACTCCTCTGGCTAGTACAATTGGATCAGGTAAATTGATCTGAATTTCTGTTTAATACTTAATGAGCTTAAGCACATATAAAAATTACATATATCTTATCTATTAAGTTATCTTGTCATGGTTTAAATTTCTTTTGTGTTCCCTAAACTCTGTTTTAACCCAGAAACTGGCATTGTTGAAATTATGTAATGTTTATGTTGTATGTGATCCATCTCTGTTTCTCTGTAATTATAGGAGAGGATGCATAAGGGACATCTCTTTCTCCAGGCAAAATTATCAGCATGTACCTTAACCAAACCACAACATTAAGTTTAACTTTCCATGTTTTAGTAACCAAAGAAAGTAACCGATAACTCGACCCTGTTGCAAAGGTCAAATGGACAATGTCACAGAACTGTTGATGATATATATATATATTTTCAATTGTAGAGCTGCTGAGTGAAGGTGGTAGGCTCACAACTCATGATGGTAAAACAGTCACAGATCTGTTTCCAGAGTTCCGGCCTGGCCAAGTGTTGAGGTTCTCACGTCTGTTTGGTCCTGCGAAGGCTTCCTCTATGCCCCAGCAGTGGCGCAATGCCAAGAAAAGGAAAAAGAAGAAGAAAAAACAAGAAGATGAAAAACCTGTGATAGAGCCACCCAAATCCCCTCCCAGTCCAAGACCTGAGGACTGTATGTCTGATGATGAGGTGAGGAAGTACTTTGGTATTCTCTGTTATTTTGGTCAGTCTTTGCAGAAGTTGAGGTTTTGCTTTTCCTTTGTATTATGTATGGTTTTAAAATCCAAGGCTCACTCAGATGCCATGATCCTTGTTTTAAAATCTGAGATGCACCAAGGCTTATGTGTAGCTTTAGCTTTGGGGGTGAATGAAACATAAAAAGAAGACTTTGTGACTCATCATAAGCTGCTGACAACAAATAGAATTACAAGCTTATGTGGGCTGCTACACTTTGGTGGCTTGCTGTCTGGCTTGCTGGCTAAATATTCAACTTTTTGTGACTAATAAAATATTATTCTACGTCAAGTTCTTGAAGACATTAATGCAACATTCAGGCCAAGGGAATGTTGTTGTCTTAATGAGAACACACATCAAAGAACAGAAGACTCATGCAGGATGAAAGAGGCCCTTTAAACACTAACTAGCAACATGGATCAGCTGCCGCTTTAGTCCTCAGTAGAAACAGACATTTATCATATATAATTACTAATGTGATATTTCAAGTACAGCTTTTTAAGGGTGCTTTAACATGTATCATATCTATTTTCAGGACAAGTTGATGGCCCCATGGGAACCAACAACTGACGAACTTAGAGACATCAATGGTGACTGGGCATCCTCTGGAGCCCAGGATGCCAGCAGTAAATACATATGTGAATGGCGGAATGGTCCAGCAGCTCTGTGGTATGAAATGCTTGGAGTGAATGAAGATGGAACAAACTTAGACTATGGCTTCAAGCTCAAAGAGGTTAGGTCAAAGCTGGGATCGAAAAAAGTTCATCAGACAAACACTCGAAACAGATGTACCCTAAGCAAACTGGTAGTACAGTCAAGTTGATCAGATCTCTAACACAGATATCCATGTAGTGAATGTCATTACTTTGTCAAAGAGGCTGGTTTAATATAATTATAACAATAAAGAAAATCATCCTCTACACTGTACTTATCAGTAATGAAAATTAAGTTATAAGCCTCAGCTAGGCTAGTACATGTAGTTATTAATTAAGATTTGAATTAATAGAAGAACATTGTTCTCAGGTGATGCTGTAGCTGGTGTTTGCAGTGGTTATTGTGCATGTTGCATCTTCATTAGTTGTGCTCTCTTTTCCATTCACAGAAAACGGAGGATGAAGCCAATGCCCCTAAATCTCCAGAGTCCCTCCCTCCTGGGGATTGTTTTGAAATGGTGTCCCAAGTTAACTGGGAAGATGACATCATCTGGACTCTTGACGATGTGAAACCAAACCTTCAAGCACAAGCTAGAGCAGGATGGATTCCCACGGCAACAACGCGCACTGCTCATGCTTATGCACTGCAACAGGAACAGCTCTTGCAACAACTTGGTATCAACAAGTTGAATTTTTATTTTGCTCTGTCTCATACATCTTTAAGGTGTACTGGTCTGATAGTCAGTGTGCTGGGTTTAGATTGAATGGTCCTTGGCTGAGTCTTGGCTTGGCCTGGGTCAGCATGTCATGTTCTTGGACAAGATATGTTAGGCTACTCTCACAGTCCCTCTAGCCATCTAAGAATACTAGTTGGGTAACAGCATCCTCTTAAGGCAACTTAACAAAATGTTAGGGGTATACTGCCTGTATACAGAATATGGTTGTTATGAGAAACCTTCTTCCTCCAATCTATTTCTAGCAGACTTCAACCTCTTTTTACCTCATAGGTATTAATTTAGCACAACCTGAATTTCAGGAAAATAAAAAACCATTTTAAATATTTCTTTTGTGTCTTCTTGATTGATGTCTCTTTTCTACTCAGGAGTTCGGCATCCAGGTTTAGAAACCTTTTTGAAGAACACTACTTCTGCAATCAAAGCAAACACTGAGTTTTTAAATCAGACCAGTAAGCTAGGCACGCCTGGAGAGGATAGCAATAACCAGAAATCTCTAGAATGGTATTCGATATTTCCAGTGGAAAATTCAGAGCTTGTTTATGGCAACTGGGAAGACAAGATTATTTGGGATGCAGAGGTATGCATTTGAGAATTTTTAATTTTAATAAAATTGCTAAATGGGTTGGATATCCTTAGATCATGATAAGAAAATTTATATTTAGGAGTTACCGGTAAATGAGATGATAAATGAGAATGATTACACTGGACTAGCATTGTGTCCAGAAGGAGTAATGAAGCCACTTTGTTCTGCAAACTGGGTGTGTCCCTAGATTGGAATGGACTTGATTGTTAAAATAGAATTTACAGCTGTACTTTGGACTCAAAGGAAGAATGTATTTTTGTTCTAGAACATGCCATCAATCCCTTCTCCCACCATAATGCAACTTGATCCAAATGATGAGAACATCATTCTTAGTATTCCTGAAGATACTGGTCCAGTTGTGAAGGAAAATACATCAACACTCACTCCAAAGAAGGTATAGCATGAGGATTTTTTTTCTTCATTTGTTCGGTGGAAAACAAATTACATTTATTTCTACAAACTTTGTGTTCCAATTCAGTTGAGCGATGGGCTAGCTATTGTTCTTAGTCTCTACTTCATGTTAATGGCAGAAGGGAAAAACTCCAACCTACTTCTAGTCCCAGATTGTTGGCCATGATCTTTGATGTTGCATCTCACCTAGCGAGCGTTTAAGTAGCCTACAGATGGCTAGAAACAGGCAAATTTAAGAAAGTTCTTACTACTATTTGCATCCATCCATGAAGTGTGATGAATTTAGAGTGTAGTTTTACTTTCAAACGCGGATGGTTTTGTCCATTATGTGTCACTTTTTACCAACAAAACATTGATGGTTGATGTGAAATTTGCAACATTTATGGCANCAGGAACGCGAGAAAGAGCGTTTGGCATCAGGTGGAGGTGAAATGTTTTTTATGAGGACGCCGGCTGATCTAACAGGGATGGATGGTGACCTTGTGTTGTTTGAATACTGTGAAGAATATCCCCCGCTCATCATGGCTGTGGGCATGAATGCAAAAGTCAGAAACTATTACAAGAGGGTGAGTAGGAAAAGATAAATTAGATGCTGATCACTCTTGTAATTTTATTGTTGAAAGTCAACTATATTTTTAAGGAGAAAAGTCACGGGATTTTGAGATATTTTGGCCTCGTCCAAAATTGCCTTTAAACTGAAGGAACTTGAAAATAGAAAAACACCAAAAAGATGATATTAAACCATAAAGGAACAAGGATGGTTAAGGATGGAGAAGATTAACACGGATTACAAACGACGAACTTAAAAAACAAAAAAAAAAAGGCTAAACTTTTCAAGAACGCAAACTGTGACGCAGCTCATTTATTAGCCTGGCAAAGTGCTGTGAGGTGTAAATATGCAATGAAAATTAAANCTGACTAAACGGTTAAAAACGGTATTTTTTGGCGAAAGTTTGGTATTCAAAGGGTTAAGATACGTCGCTGTGAAACCTCTGAAGCGAAATGTCACAAATTAAAACGTGGAGTTGTACAACATATGCAGAAAGAACCCGCCGTTGGAAAGAAACAATAGAAATGAGTAATTGAAGCACAATACAGCAGTACTCAGAGTCAACTTTCGCAGTTGTGATTGTTAAGACTGACTTGGACAGAGACAAAATAAATGATTGAAGTACTGCAGCAGGGACCACTTGCACATTATTTCTTTTTTAGAGAGTTTTTTTGTTAATATATCAAACAGGAGAGTATGTGTTTTGCCACATTCCCAGACACCGCGAAGGAAGTATTTTTGACAAACTTCGAGGTGTTTGGAAATGTGATCAAACACTGACTGGAATGTTTGATATATCTTCTCAATCAAGACTAAGTAGAAAACGGAGAAATAAAATCCTAAAAATCTATTCTACTTAAGATTAGATATCCAAACACCGTCACGGTCATGATCTTTTACGTTTGAACTTGATGAATTTCTTAATATACGGGTATGAGAATAGGTGTTCCACTGTATGTCACATCAGGATTTTATCATCGTTGTTTTACAGGCTTTCGAATGTAACTTGTTCAGAGCTCCCATTTTCCAGCACGGGTTACCCGAGACGGACTTTCTGGTCATCAGAAATCCTTCGGGGTAGGTACCACCATATCATCACGTGTCGTTTGGAGAAATAAGACTGAATTTTCTTTCTACGTAACCGTATTTTATATGAAGCACTTTTTGACACGATATCATTTATTTAGGTATTGGATTCGTGATGTGAAAACAATATTTACAGTGGGACAGGAATGCCCAAAGTTTGAAGTTCCAGGACCAAACTCTAAAAAAGCCAACATCCACGCCAGGGACTTCCTGCAGGTGAGTTCTAAAGGCCCCGTCTTGACTATGCCGGAGACATTTGAAAACGCCACTTTATATCTAATCAATTAACAACTTTTCGGTATTCAAAAAGTGCCGAAACAAATTCGAGTGTCTCATTTACGAAATGCTGACAATCAAAGAACGCAAACCATCTTTGAACGTGCAAGCAGATTCCATCCTTTATTCATTTACTAAGTGATTTCATAAAATGTATTTACCCACTGGAGATGCATTTTTGATGACATGTTGTTAAACAGTTTCACTTACATATCTCCACAGATTTTTATATATCGTCTGTTCTGGAAAAGTCCAGACACACCCAGAAGGATCAAGATGGATGACATCAAGCGAGCTTTTCCTATGCACTCCGAAAGCAGCATTAGAAAACGACTCAAGCTTTGTGCTGACTTTAAAAGAACAGGTTGGTTGCTTGGCTGGCTAGTCGAATTTGTGAAATACGTGCGTGCGTGCGCGGAATTAGCGTGCGTGGGCGTGCGCGTGGACGTGCGTGGGTGGGCGTGGATTAGTATGAGTAGCTGGAGGTGTTGTGAGCGTGCGTGAGTGAGAGGGAGGGAGCAAGAGAGAGCATGCGTAATTGAACGTGTGCAAGAGTTTGTGTGATCACGCGCGTGAGTGAACAAGCAGTCGTTCTAATCTGAATTGCTGGTTTGGAAAGTGCGTTTAGTACAATTAAGTATAGTCAGTTTTAGTGTCTCTAAGATATCACGTTTCAATTGGTTTCTATACAGTATAGAGTAGATGTTGGTTTAGTTACAACATGGCGCAGAACAGTAGGTTTTGGCGGAACAGTGAGATGAAGTAAGTTAACACTGAAGGAATTCATTATTTCAGATTCCCAGGATATGGAGTTAGAATCTTTTCCATTTTGGAGTGAGTATAGTACAGTTCAGTGTAGGGACTTAGAGCAGCGTAACTCATAGCTTAGTGTAAGTGTAGCATAGTACAGCGAAATACAGAAGAACATGCATGTAGGGTAGAAAAACTTGGTTGCTACTAAAGTTAGTTAAGAAAAGAAATCGATTGTAGTATAGCAGAGCCGAGTCGAGTATAATAAAAGAATGGCATAGCAAGGTGTAGCATAGCAAAGTATTAGCCATGTTCTAAACGAACAAGGGACTAAAGATTGTAGGTACGAATATTTAAAATCGATTAATTTGAAAAACTGAAACTTGTACATAAAGGAGCATCTAAAGGTTAGTAAGTTTACCAAATGTCAGTGTTTTTGGTACACAACAATGTAAAATGGCACTTTTGAAAAGCTGTGATTTGAGAGAACCTTATATGGTTTGGAGGGACATACATGTACGTACCCAGTCCCTTGCTCGTTTAATTGAAAAGAAAACAAAAACAGTGAATAAGCAGAGAGCGAGTGGTTGGTTAGGTGGATTAGTGAGTGGTTATCTTGCTGGTTATGTGAGTGATTTACCAGCTAACTGATGGCCACACTGGTGTGTCACCTCAGGCACGGACTGTAACTGGTGGGTGCTCAAGAGTGATTTCCGTTTGCCGACTGAGGAAGAGATGCGTGCTTTGGTGTCACCTGAGCAGTGCTGTGCGTTTTACAGTATGTTGGCGGCCGAGCAGAGACTCAAGGTAAGCGTCTGATTTAGCTGAACNGAAGTTAAGTGCATCGACCACTATAAACATTTAACACTTAACTTTTTGTCAACCCCCCTCCCTTCCTGCCGTTAAATGTCCTTCTTCGATGAAGCCTCCCTTAGACAATGCTGCAGGATTTTCATATTTCAGAATGTTAGTTCTCCTTACTTATTGAAAGAGTTTTCTTATGGGAAATGGTTTTGGGAAATTGATGTTTCATCAGTGTAGACAATATATCCTAGTTAGTAATCATCTTCGTTATTCTCATTACCGGTCTGTTTAATGCAATATTGATATTTTAAGGAGAAAATAGATTTTCATGACTCCTAAGTGGTGTTACAGAGTCAGTGTTGACCTGTTTTCTTGTTTCTCAGGATGCAGGTTATGGAGAAAAGTCTCTTTTCTCCTGTGATGACGACAACGATGACTCTGAAAGTAAAAACATCGACGACGAGGTAACGAGCGAGGTCTTACATTTTGATAAGCCTCGGCAACAAACACATTTATGATAGTTGCATTGGCACACGGCGTTGTGAAGGTATATGAGTTATAAACGGTTGTTGTTTTACTAATGCCTGACTTGAAATCAATCGATACTTCCATATTTTGCGTAGTTCATCGCTTGATTAGCCTGAAAAATGAAAAAACTTAGTCTGCAACAGGTGGTTTAGCGGGGCAAAACGCGATGCGGCATACTCGAGGTTTATTTTTCTTAGCTAATCTCTCGCGTTCCGCACGTGTGTATTCCTCTGCATGCTCTGCACCGCTAAACCGCCAGTTCTGCAGACTGATAAAGTTCTGCTCTGATTTGTTACACCAGGTTACAGAAGCCTTAGCCAATTAATTACAGAGCTTGCTTTAATTAAGTACTGTTTGTATCGTAGGTTCGCACAGCACCATGGAACACTACGAGAGCGTTCATTTCAGCCATGAAAGGAAAATGTCAACTGGCAGTCACAGGTTCGGCGGACCCCACCGGGTGTGGGGAGGGATTTTCCTACGTCAGAGTACCTAACAAGCCCATGGCAAACAAGGTACATTAATGTACATAATTTTGATTTTTCTCACGCGTTTTCGCTCACCCTTGACGCATTGTCAGAGAGTATTAGGTCGGTGTCAGTACTCACTGTGTAAATTTGTTTTTGTTGTTGTTTTTGTTGTTTTGATTAGGATGATTCAAGCACCAGCTCACCGCAGATACGAAAACAGAAGACTGTTACAGGAACAGACGCTGATCTGAGAAGACTGTCCCTTAAGCAAGCGAGACAAGTGTTAAGGAACTTCAGAGTATCAGATGAAGAGGTAATGCTTTCTTGTACAAATACACCATTTCCCTGTCGCTTTTTTGCTTTTCCGCTGGCATCACACGTTTCTTTTACTACCGTACACTGCCGCTTATAAGCCGTCCCGCTCAAAAGCCCCTCCGGTTATAGGGCCTGTAAACAAAATAGGTCCATCTACCTGTAAACAAAATACTTCCGATTATAAGCCCGCCTCCATAGTTTAAAATAAAATGAATTCGGTTTATTATTGTCCCTCAAAGCTTACTCAAAAACCAGTGTATGAAAAACGTATTTCAATCAACACTGCTGTAGCTCATGTCGAAACAGTTTCTTTTTATTCAACTTATAAGCCTCCTCGGTCGCTTATAAGCCCGGGGGTTATAAGCGGCAGTTTACGGTATTTTGCTAACAATTGCTTGCTTGTTTCATTTGTTCGTTTGTTTGTTGGTGTAGATTCGCAAACTTTCAAGATGGGAAGTTATTCATGTTGTTCGCACAATGTCCACAGAGGCGGCCAAGTCTGGAGAAGAAGGTGTGACACCAAGTATAATCTTTGTTTAAAAGAACTAGTCACGTTATTGTCACGACATTTTAAAAGTCCCCCTTCAATCCGCGCTAGCGTCACGCCGTCACGCTCTGTTTTTTGGTCATTTACTCTCTTACACTTTTTCATAGAATTTTGCTTTGATTTCAATTTGTTTCATTTCTGTCGGCCTAACAACTATTATTTAGCATAATCCTTATGTCAAAGTGTTTCATCGATGACAACAGGTATGAGCAAGTTTGCCAGAGGATCAAGATTCACAATTGCTGAGCATCAAGAACGCTACAAAGAAGAATGCCAAAGAATATTTGACTTACAGAACAGGTACATAGTCGTTTGTGCTGCGTAGTGTGGACAGGACTTTAGTTTAGAATCCTTCAAATATATTATATTGCAGACAAATTTTTCAAGAGGTGAAGGTGTCAAAGTATGCCAAATGCCAATAAATTGTTCATGCAGTTGTTAGGGGCGGCTAATAAGTATGGAAAACCAACTTTAAGAAGAAAGTTGTCAAAGAATTAAATTCTTGACTGTAGTGAAAACTGACAACAAATGTATTTCACTGTCAGTTTGAATGTCCCTCAATAGTTTTACAGGCTAACTGTTTCTAACAAGGAATTAAACCCAGGGAGAAATAAAAACTCGTTTTAAGTGCGCTGACAGCCACATCTGGTCTTGTTTTGTTTCGTCTGTAGGGTTCTATCATCAACTGAGGTTCTGTCCACAGATGAGGAGAGTAGCAGTGATGAAGGAAGTGATATCGATGAATTGGGCAAAAACCTGGAAAGCATGTTAGCCAACAAGAAAACCAGCATGCAGGTCAGAGTCTATACTCTCCTTACTACTTCCGTACCTTTTGTGTAAGTCGTCATGAGAGAATTCAGTTTTCGGTCAAGACTTCTGTGCTGAGATGATCAGGGCTATATTCTTATCACTTGCCCATTTTCCTTCGTTTTTAAAAGGTTGAGAAATTTTAGAATTGAATCACTTTAAGTGATGAAGAATAATATTTCGTGATTACTGAGATTTTTTAATGATTGAAACTATCACTTTTGTCCAAACGGACAAATAAGAAACAGCAGTGTTGTTGTTCTAAAACGTCTTCAACAAACAGAACTAAAATCTGTTTTCTTTCCTTTTCATATTGTGTTTAGTTGTGAAGGTTTTTTCGTGATTTCAACGAGGTTTTCTTTGTTTCAGCTCACTCATGAAGAAGAAGAGGCTGAGAGAAGAGAACTTCAGAAATTATTGAGCGATGACAAACCTAGCAAGGAATCTGTAAGTTGAAACAGCCTTGTATAAATGATTTTACATGCAATGCTACTTACTAAGTTCATTAACTTCAGTTTTGTTCGCGCCCAGTCCCTTCGCCGCTGTGAGAGTATGATACTCAACTTATGCCTTTTATTACGTTCGTGAATAGAATTACTTTGCCATTGACAACAAAATAAATATCTTATTTCCATTTTTATCTCAACAGAACGGCAAGAATTCAGGTACGGCATTCGCTACTGTATCAGATGTCTTTTATTTCTGGGGTGTGGTTTTTACTTACTAGTAAAGCCTAGACAAGCTGAACAAAATACAAAGATGTTTTCGTTTCTTATAGACGATTCGCTTTGAGTTTTTTTCCCGTTTTTTTGTTTGTTTTTGTTTTCACTGATTGCCTTTAAACTATGAAAATCAAAGGGAGGGAGGCATAGTGGCCTCATGTTTAGTGCGCTCGACTCCTGGTCAAGTGGTCCGGGTTTGAGTCCTGGCCGGGAACATTGTGTTGTGTTCTTGGGCAAGACACTTAACTCTCACAGTGCCCCTCTCCACCCAGGTGTATAAGTGGGAACAGGCGAATTTAATGCTGGGGGTAACCCTGCGATGGACCAGCATCCAATCCAGGGGGATTAGAAATACTCCTAGTGGCTTCATGCTGCAGAAACCGGGATAAGCTCCAGCCTGATGGACCACTGAGCTCGTATACAGACTTAACCTAACTACCTCATTCAATATTGCAGGCGAAAAGGGTGGAAAGGAAGGGCTTAAGAAAGATAGCAGAGGAGATGACGATGAAACAGCTTCAGTGACTAGTTATGAATCATCCATGGCAAGTATACAAAGAAAACGCTTAAAATACCGGCCACTGATATCAATAGTTTCAAGTTTGACTTATTTCAATTCAACACCAGTATGTTTGCAACTGAATGAAATAAATCTTCTAAATTAGCCTTAGGTTCAGCTTGCCCTCAAACAAGACTGAATGTCAAATTGAGTTGTAATTTTGGATTTTGCGAGTGGTTTCTTAAACAATAAAATAATTTACAGACCACATTTGAGAGAAACAGCCTCGCTAGAAAAGCCACAGTTAAGGTTTTCATTTTTCCATATACATTTGTCTGTAAAACCGAACCGCAATTTACTGGAAAATTTAGAGACATTTATTTGTATGAAAAATTAAAAGTGCAGTTCCTTGCCTGACAGCAAATCTATATTCAAATTTGACGAAAACACTTTCTGCTGGGTATCTCAGTTTTCCCTGAAACTCATACAATACTCAGAAAGTCTATCACTCTCAACTTATTGGGTATCGAACGTTTTACTTTTCCCACACATTTACTGCAATTTTTGCTCTGTTTGTTCCCCAAGCACGATGGCATCAGAAACCGTGAAAAAGGTCTCTCGTTTTAGTCTGCTCTGATGCTTAAGGGGAGTTTTTTTTTTTTTTTTTTTTAAAGAGGTGTTGACACCGTTTTCTTTTCTGCCAGGTTGGACGTCGTCTTCGAATAAGAAGAACGTTTAAAACAACCGACGGAAAGGAATTTGTTCGCATTGAAGTCGTTAAAAACCAGGCTGTGATTGATGCTTACCTCAAGTTTAACAAGGACAAGAACGTCAAGTACAGTGTATTTGTGAATTATTTTTATCCGTAGTTTTAATCTTTTAATGAGTTACTCTGTTGAAGCATAGAAAGAGGGGACTGGAGTGGTTGCGAAACTCGGCAAATTCTTTGTTGTATGTTTTTTTTTTTTCTGAGGGCTTTAGTCTCGACCGTGGACAAATCACAGTAGATCTTTATGTGTGTTCGAGCAGGGGGCAAACAGAAAGGTTGCAGTTATATACTTCAACAAAATGAGTGCGCGTATGCGCGCAAAACAAAGGATTGTACATGGTCGTAAACCTTGCAAGAAAAACCTTTTGATCTCTGCTCGCTCCTGTGAAGTTTACTGGGCTTCATGTCCATTTCCCTTTATTAACTATAGTTTTAGTAATACGAACCTTCTCAGCTGAGCGACATGGGAAAAGTCGCTTTCTAGATGCTTGACACTTAACCTTATTGAGTCGCCAGAAATGCAAAGAGTATAATAAAATTGATAGTTTGAACGTGACGGATTCAGTGAAGGGCTTATCCACTGAACAGCAATATTTAGCTCACAGTAAACTCGAATGTAAGCGAATTTAACTTGGTGTTGCTAGCTCTTTAGTCGAGAAATGGCATTTTCTGAAGTAGGGTGGAGAGACTACAATGGGAACATATTTCATAACAAGATACCTTCAAAATGCAATGCGACTCGCAACCTTTGCTGGTTTTTTTTTGTTTGTTTGTTTGTTTCTGTAGAGCCCAGTTTGCAAGCAATGATGAGGTCCACAAAGAGGAAATTCGTAGAGAAAAGAGAAGGTAAAGCTTATGTTGGCATTGGGATAGTAAACTTTGACACAACTGGCCCCTCAGGAATAACCCTGATGCATCACTAAATTCCCAATAATAACTTTAAAGTAAATGTATGGGAATAGGTAAGGAGAATTAATATTTCGAAGTTAGAATGATTTACAAAATGCTTAAGATTTCTTGAAGCTGATTTGATTTTTGGAGCGGTGTGTTTGAAGCCGGTGCTTTTTGGTTTTGTTCATGTTTTTTCAACTTAACGATGGTTTTTTTTGTGTGTGTGGAAACTTTAGGATTCAAGAACAGTTACGAAGGATTAAGCGAAACGAACAAAAGGAGAAATTGCAGCCGGTTAAAAAGAAGAAAGAAAAGCCACCTAATAATGTAAGTGGAACTGTCTGTAGTTAAGGTTGTGCTTAAAAATTACCAAATAAATGTTAGATGGAGTAGTAACCAGAACACGACCGACGTCCGCCATCGGACGAACAAACGGAGATCAATCATTCATTCATTAATAAGTATTTTTCAGTTCTTGTGGACCGTTTTCCATCTTCGCATTTTCTAGTCACATTGACCGACATTTTCAGGTTAGCGTATGGAAAACTGACGTAAAACATCACACCCCGTTTGCCAGCTTATCTAGCCGGTGTCCACTCGCCTGGGACACCTGTAGTTTTTCTAGAGGAGAGTGGGTTACGCATTTTCAGTTTTCCTGTACATAGGGTCTTTTGCCAGGTAACTCCACAATTGGTGGGGCATCTTTACAAAGTTGCCCTTGATGTTGTAAAATACTGTTTCAAAACGCTATAAATCTGATATAGTCTTTGATTATTCACTTCCTCAGTAACACATTTATTTTTCTTTCGTTTAGTTGAAGTGTGGTGCTTGTGGAGCGATAGGACACATGCGAACAAACAAGAACTGTCCGAACTACCAGGAAGCTAACCCTGGCTCTGTGACAGTAGCCATGACTGACGAGCAAGTGGCTGAAGAAGAACTGAACATGCCCCAGGATGATTTGGTGAAAGTAGAAGGAACGAAAATTACTCTTGGAAAAGCATTCCTCGATCAGTAAGTTTACTAAAGAGAGGTCTCAAAGTTCATAATTGGCACGTGACGTACTTGACGCACGTGACATGAGGGGTAAAGGTTATCATGAAACACGTGCAATGCAGCAGGGAAAGTCGCCGTTGGCTAATAACGATTTGGTTTGGCTTGTCGATTGGTTGGTTTTTTGAGAAGAAGGAAAAATCTTTACTGTGATTGGATAATTTCTTGTCGGGCGAAACCAATCACAGCAAGCAACAAGAAACCTGAGGTAAAGTAAGGTTAAAGTAAAGTCTGCATACAAGCCAAGTGGCCCATCAGGCCGGAGTTTATCTTCGGTTTCTGTAGCATGAAGCGATTAAGAGTATTTCTACTCCCCCTGGATGGGATGCTAGTCCATCGCAGGGTTACCCCCAACATTAAATTCGCCGGTACCCATTTATATACTTGGGTGGAGAGAGGCACTGTGAGAGTAAAGTGTCTTGCCCAAGAACGCAACACAATGTCCCTGGCCAGGGCTCGAACTCGGACCGCTCGATCCGGAGACGAAAACACTAACCCTTAGACAAAGTAGTCATGAGTTATTTAAGAAAACCGTTTTATTCATTGTTGTCATTTTGTGGTGGACGTCACTGACCTTGCTTGTGCTGCTTTCTTTCAGAACAAACGAGCTGAAGCGGAAATCACTTGTTCTGCGATTCCCCAAAGAATCTGGTGAGGAAAAAAAAATAGATCTCTCCGAGCTTCCATCAGCATTGGGTATTTTAGTCTAACAGCGCTGATGTTCTGTTATAATGTTATTTGTTGTAAGCGTGATTTTGCTGAGAAACTCACCAGCAAACATAGAAAGCCGGTGGAAAGTTAGTTTCATAATTTTGTGGAACATTGCTCAATAAATAACAGGAGTCCATTAGGAAGTGAAGACCATGAAGGATGCATGTGGCGAGGACAGAATGACTAATACTGTGGACAGTTGCAGGCTAAATTTTCAACTTTGATTCAGATTTCTTTGCAGGTTTCCAAAAAACGCCATGTTTTCAACGTGGAACTTCATTCAGAAATTATACAGTGTAGCTCTACATAATCTGAATTTAGTTCTTATTCAAAAATACAGTTATGAAACATTTTCTTTAGGTTTTGCGTAAGCATAGCCTGAGATAATACTCCTTTCACCTCAGTTTCAATAACGGATTTATTTAAGTGCAATTTTTTTTCCTGTTCTAGTTCGAAAGAAGAGGCGTTCTGGAGTGATGCACTGTGACTATCTGAAGGTATGATGTTTAAATGTACGGCACATCGAACCAAAAGAAACATAAAATTGTCGTCTTTAAACATCACTTTATTAGATGAAATACTTATATCCCTATTATAGTCCTCTTCCTGTATAAACTTTCCACTGAATTGTTCTGTTTCATTGTGTGTTTGTAGAAACCTCGGAAGTCTATCAACCGTCGTAGGGCAAATCCTGAGGTAGGGGAACTTAATGCTTTAATTTTTGCTGTTGTTTAGACTCCTCTCTTGCCATTTACTAACTTGTTGTATTGTTCATTGTTACATCAGGTGGCTCTGCAAGTTGTTTTTGAGGGAATTCTTAACAAAATGAAAGAAGTTGACGAAGTAAGTGAAATCGTCAGTGCACTGTTAGATGTTGATGGTAAACTGCCCTCCTGAGTCGTCCCTTTTCTTTAAAATCTTCCGAAACTGAAGGAGTGCATTAATGCCATGTGTTATTCATGGGTAGAACGATTTTCTGACTAGTATTAAAAAGTAAGTTTACCATAGAACCAATCACGATGGCACAAAAACAAAATCAGAACTCCCTCTTGTTCCATTTGCCACTATTTCCTCGGAGCACAAATAGCTATATTCTTAAATAACTTTCTTCGTATATCTCTGGTACATTTATCACGCGAGACTATGTGTGGAAATTAGCGCCGAGGCTTTTGTAACTTCGTAATATTGTTTTCTGTTCACAGACATGGCCATTCCACCATCCTGTATCAGCAAAAACTGTTCCTGATTATTACAACATTGTTAAAATTCCCATGGATCTACAGACAATGCGAGAGGTGCGACATTTTTTAGCTGCCTATTGAGCCCATGAAATAACTAACATTTTAACATAGAAATCTTAAATAGGCTTTTATAAGTGTTCTGTTCCTTAGTCTCGGTTGAACGCTAGTTTCAGTCCAATACAGATAATACGTTCTCATTTCAGTGTTAAACATGGTCATATTTTACTTTTTGCTATCATTAGAATCTTCGAAAGTGTAAATATCTGTCCAGAGAGGAGTTTCTCGAACACGCTTCCTTGATCGTGTCAAACAGTGTTCTGTATAACGGTAAGTGAGTCTGTACGTTTGCAATGAAACATATCGAGCCGTTTCTTCTCGCTGAAGCCAGCTGCTAATCAAAATTACCACAAAATTATTTTTCTGTCTGTTCATCCAACCTCAGAGCGAATCAAACAACCAACGACCACATGCAGGCCACTTTGGCACCCCCGTTTATCTTGACTTTCTCTGTTTCTCACTTGCCCCGCCTATCTTGGCTTACTCTGTTTCTGACTTGCCAGGCTTTACGAAAACCAACACAAAGCTCTCAAAAAGAAATAAAAAATTCAATCAAGAACTTACTTGACGTATTGGATCGTAATTATAGGTCTAGTTTATGGAGAACCCCTTTGCAAAAGGTACTTGTTTCTCCTTTAAATTCCATTGAGATCGCTGAACTTATCATGTTTCTCTTTTAGGTCCTACGCACACTTACACTGGTTCAGCTCAACAAATGTTGGAAGTCTGTAACAAGGCGTTGAACGAGGTCAGTACATCAGATCAGTGACTGTTTCCGTTTACCCAACAGTGTAGGTAGCGTGTCTGGGTTATCAGCACTGTTTCTGACAGACGGTTTGAAAACTAACGATCCTTGTCAACCAGTAATAGTCCTAAGTTCAACTCCTCGTGAATGACAACCGGTCGGCCTTGAATCAGCCGGAATGTTTAGCATATTAACGTTCATTTTGAATTGAACGGTGAACGAGATCAGGAATAAAATAGGTATACAGATAGTAAGTGAACAAGTGAAGCTTACATGAGAGAAGTTGACGAGGGACACGTGGAGAATGTAACGAAATCCGGCTGAAGAAAGATGAAAACAAAACAGTCTAAGTTGACTTGCTAAATGACTATTAAAATTGATGCGAAAGACAAATTTCTTTGGGGTTAACACATCCATGATAGCAACGTCCAAGACGATTTATGAGCGGAAAAATCATGTTGATTATAAATACCCTATAAAGATCATAACGAATATCATTTGTATGCAATCTAAAACAGTACTAAACGTTCATTCCTTTAGAAAGAAGATGAAATCATTCAGCTGGAGAAAGAGATAAACCCCATGCTTAGCGACGATCCACAGGTAATTGTCAGCAAATGTGAAGTCCTCCTTAGCCGTGAAAAAGATTGCAGTTTACAGTATTTGGGCGTCACAATTAAATGTTCCTAAATTACATATTGCTGTACTTCACAGATCGCGTTTTCTTTCTTCCTGGAAAATCTCGTCGCACAGTTGAAAGGATTGCAAGAAGTAAGTCGACAAGTTCAAATGTACCTATTACCAAGGAATTTAAAAAGGGGGGGGGATCACCCCATCGGTACAGACCGATCCACAGACGATCTCGTGCTTCATATCTCTGATCACGAAATAACTATGAGGAACCAAGTCTAACACTGACACTGATTGTGGAACTTGCGGTGAAGTGCGCCTACATAGCACTTTCTTCAATGACATACAGATAAACTGAATAAGGGCAATCGATGCATAAATGAGTAGGCCGCACTTTTCCTTATGCGACGTCGACTGAGAAGCGAAAAAAGAAACTGAAAAAAATCGTCCTGCGAAAATTTCTCGCAGCAATTTTTTGTTTCTCGCCCAACCGGTCAAGAGAACAATTACCAGTTGATCTCCAAGACTGCGGGACCGAGGCCGCAGTTTTTGTCTCGAGGCTGCTTAGCAACTGATCGCTCGGTGACAGCGTGACAGTTGCTAAGCAACTAATCGCGCCATGACAGCGTGAGAGCGTTGGCCGGGAGCACTCGCGAGTCCGCGCCCTACTGTTTGATTGATAGTAAAATCGGAAACTTTATGAGTGCTACAACAAAGTTTCTTAGATGTGTAATTTCTTGTTTTTTGTCATTCAGAGTTGGCCTTTCCAGAAGCCTGTGTCGTCTAAGCAGGTGCCTGATTATTACGATGTCGTTAAGACTCCAATCGACCTTCTGACCATCAGACAGGTAAGTCCGCCTCGTAGTGCGGCATTTTTCTAGTTGCCTTTGTATCATGCTCCGACGATCAGTTCACGGGTTTCCCCCGCTTAGGACGGAAGTACAGGGTTTACATACCCTTTATATTAAATACAGCACTTTACTAGTTTTATTTCGCTCAGTATTAATATTTCTGACATAAACTATTTATTTACTGTGTGTTTACTCTCTCCTCTCTTATANAAAAGATCATATATTAGAACTGGGGAGAAAGATATGAAGATATGATTAATCAATGCAGCTCTATGAGAAAAATTCGGGCCTGAACGGGATTTGAACCCATGACCTCTGCGATACCGGTGCAGTGCTTCACCAGCTGAGCTATCAAGCCAACTGGGAGCTGGTCACTTTGATCAATCATGTCTTAACATCTCAGTTTCCCCACAGTTCAAATATATGATCTTTTATATGTCCACTTCAGAGCTATCTTCTGTTCACTGATGTGCCTCTATTTTTCTTCGCAGCAAGTGCAAGGACACGCTTATCAAAATAGGGACGAGTTTATGGAACACGTGAAAATGATGCACAGAAACAGTGTTATCTATAACGGTACGGCTCAATTACACTCCCATGATCAACATCACAAATCTTCCTACTTGGGAAATAGTTAACAAAATAACGTCAGTTTTTTGATGCGTCTGCCATTTTATTGATCATGAATTTCGTCATAACATTGTCTAAGTAGTCTGCGGATCCACTTTGACTATGTCATGACGAAATTCGTGATCAATAACAGGACAGACGCATGAAAAACTGACGTCAATTTGTTAATTTGCAATAAATTACCGCATTAGTTATAAATTTACGCTGGGTAATAGAACTTATTTTTGTTGTCAGGCGAATCACATGAGTTTTCTAAGATGGCCGAGAAACTGATCCAGTTTTGTGAGGAGGCCCTGAGGGAGGTAAGCAAGGTTATGTGCCGATACACACCTTACACTACACCATAGTGAAGTAACCAGGATGATTTGAACTCATTCCTACAGTAGTCCTCTTTCATCGCTCCATCAGTCCAGCAAATGAAAGTTATGGCGAACGCAAACTAAAACATGGCTTGTAATTGACCAGATAACAGTTCCCTGATCGACAACTTTTTGTTACAAGATATGGTGATAAGCCAAAGGTCAAATTGAAGGGTCAGGATTTTCTGTCGGGGTTGTCCTTCCATTAGTCGCATGAGCTGCTTATTTATAGGCACAGTGGCACAGGATGCTTGCCTCCCAACAGAAACACTGCTGTTCGCGTAATTATGTCGGATAACGTATAGTTGAGGCTTAGGTTTTTCGCACATTGTTTGTCGATCTTCTTTTCACCTGCTCTGTTCTACAGCCAACTAAAAGTATGTAAAACACGAAAAAAATATTCCTTAAATCCTTTTTAATCAAAGCTTTTATTGAGAGCAACAATGACTGCATTCGTTAACTGACATTACCAAGCAATCTCTCCGTTTTGTTCAAATCTCGTTAACCACCTTTATTATCACTATCTTACAGAATGACGAACAGCTATCCAAGTTGGAGAATGAAATTTTACTCACTCCAGGAGACGACACGTCATCATACGCCGCTAGTCAGCCGCCTTCAGTACCAGGACCGGAGTGGTCAATGGAAAACAGCATGGATGACTTCCCAGAAGACTCCATGAAGGATGAGGAGAGCATGATGGACGTGTTAGACGCAGAGGAACTGGACACGACGAGCGAAGATTACAGGGACTTCAGGGCCAGTCTGAGCACTCCTGTCTCAGCACCAGACCAATGTAAGCTATGCTAGTGGTTATTTTTTCTACTAACCGTATAGATTTAATGCTCATTTTCAATCTAATGTTTTTGCCTGTGTTGTTACGAAGGGTCTCGTGTTATAAACAGGCGGGGGAGATATCCAAGGGTCTTATAAGTGGGATTTCGTGGTTGATATCCTAGAGATGGTAGCGAATTGCGTTGGGGCTAAAATAAAGACCGGCTTCGGACCAGAGAAATAGATCAGACATGTGCACTAAAATATCAAATACATGGCAACTAGGTGACGAGGTAGAAGTGAAATATCATCTGGATATCACCCATTATATTCTTATACATTCGTAAATATTTTATGGTAGTTATATAATCGTAGATAGTTGAGTTTAATATTTATACCCCAATCTCCACACGGAGAAGCGGAACTGATGATGTCTGTATGTCTATGCCTATGTCTTTACAAGAGCAGTTCAGGATGGGGGGAATTGCATAGAAAATTGAAGTCCTGGCCCCAGTTGTTCGAAGGCTGGATAACGCTATCGACCAGATAAATCGCTATCCAGTGGAAAAGTGTTAACAAAAGAAACCACGCTATCCGCTGGATAGTAATTTATCCGGTGGATAACGTTATCCACCTCAGTTCGGCCCATAACCAGGTTCGAAGGCTGTATAATGCTATCCACGGATATATCGCTATCCAGTGAATAAGTGTTAACAAAACAAACCGCGCTATTCAATGGATAGTGATTTATTCGGTGAATAGCGTTATCCACATTTCCAACAACTGGGCTTGGAGTTAAGGACTTTCTTCTCCCGCCTGTGCTTATACTTCCCTCGTTATTTTGTCTTTAGCTTCTCGAATGGACGCAGACTTTGACGAAGAGGAAGACGTGGACATCGAGGGTTACGACGATGACGAAAGCACATCACAAAGCTACACAAAACAGGAAAGTCTTGGATCACAACCACAGCTTGGAAGCGAACAAGATTCACAGGACGTTACACAATTTGAGAGCATTTTACTGCAAGATCTTGAACACAGTGAAAGCGAGAGCGACGAGGAAGATGATTTCCCTTTTGGCGATGGAGATGACGAGGAAGAGGAAGATATTGAGGAGGAAGATGAGCAAATCAACTTCTCCCCTGGTGGAGGAGAAAACAATGATACGATAAATAACACAACGGAGGACTTATCGGGCGATGAAATATAAGCTACGACAAAAATAGTTCAATGTTCTGTAGTTGGACTATTGGTGGATTTGCGATTCTTGTTCTCCAATCAAATAAAACCTGTAAGGGGTCTCAACATTACGATGTCAACTCGATATCATGTGACTTCCCATTGCGTGGCAACACCTCCGACACCAACATCCGGGTTCAGTCCCCTCTCGTAAGTTAATGTGCCAGTCATTTTCACTTGGTGTCATTATCGTATTCGTGCTGTTTAGTATTTATATTTGATTTGATATCCCGAAATTTCATTTCAAAATTTAAGACTAAGAACTTGCCTACAGGAATGATATTAAAGCATACAGGTGGTTTTCGAAAACTGTGACAACTTAAGTCGCGTAACGCAATATTCGTCGACTGGAATGTCACGGTATTGTATTAATTAAAGAGTGTAGTTTTCGATTTACTCATAAGTGGAAAACTCAAGAAAAATTTTAATATTAAGTTATATGAAGTGTCAACGGTATGGCGCGTTTATCCGTGGAAAAAGAAACAAACACAAGCGTGTTGTGTAAATAAATAGCTACCCAGGCTCAGAAATAAAACAAACGATTTGTATTGCTATTGTGTGTATTGCAAGAACTACTGTAGTCATTAGATAGTTTTTGTTTTCATCTTAATCCTACTGCATTTTTTTTTTTAGATTTTATGCACACGYAAGAGAAGATGAATTTCTGATATGGCTACTAACCGCCATATTGAGCAGCGCRATGGTTGGGTACARTGGCGGTACCAGTCGTGCATGAGGCTGCAGCAAACGCTCAGATAGTCATTTTGCAAGTTAAATATTACGAAAGCTGCGTTACAAAAGAAACATTACCTGTCTTGAAAAGCAACGGGTTTGCACCAAAGTAGGGATCACAAATACGCCATTTCCGAGTTGCCTTTCACCTGTGTCGATCTAAACGAGTCTCCGTGCAAAACCATTCATATGAATCACGTTTATTTTCATGCAAATCAAACTCACTTCCATAGGAAGGTATTGCATGCGGACTCGTTCTGAAACAGACACAAGATAACTCGGAAATGGCCTATTTAGATTAACCTCTTCCATACGTTGGGGATCACCGTAAAAAAGGCGAGAGAAAAAAGAAAGTGTTTCGAGCGTCAAGCTACTTCCCTATTTTTTCGAAGGCCGCTTTAGGCTTCAGCTGTGCCACAGATAACTGAAGTCTTAGAAGGGGTTACGTTTAGATTGGCTTTGAAGATGTCAACACTCTTTCACACGTGTGTGGGGTTGTGGAAATGTCATTTGGTTATCAATTATGTCTGGTCAAATATTCGTCTTTATTCCGAAGAAAACAATTAAAGAGCCAGCGAGCTGCTTACAAAAAATCAGTTCACATTTGTGACAATCGATTCTTTCCTTTACCGTTTCTTGAAGAAGCAATAGGCCATATTCGTATTCTCGGTATTGGACTGGAACTAGCTTGCAACTGAGGCTAATGCCGCGAGTCTTTTCAAATGATGAGATTAATGATATTCCCCCACATGCGTCGCATGAGCTAGTTCCAGTCCTATACCGAGAATACGAAAATGTCCTACTACATTCAGTCCAACCCAGTCTCCCACCGTCACTGGTTTTTTCTGAGTACTACGCACCAGTTCCCTTTGTCGTAGTAATGCTTCTCGACTGTCACGTTACTCAGATGGCTACAAAGTTCCCGGAGCTCGCCAACTTGAAACACGTGATAATACCTATGGTACACGTGACCATCTTTGCCCTCGAGGCCTGATTCTTCAGTTTCTCTTTGCTGTTTTTCTTGTAGTTTCCCTGGTCCGCTGTATTTCCAAGGTACAAACAAGTCTTGTTGCTCAAAGGACTCCCTGGAAGCATTTACCAGTAGTTTTGTTAAATTATTTTCACTCGAATTTTCAAATTTGTTTGTAAAAGGTTCTTTACTTTCATGAAAAACTTCTGCCACACCGCTTTCTTTCGAAGACTCGTCCGGGGTATTTTCGCTGTCTTGTACAGTTCGATGGTCATTCTCTCCAGTGAAATTCACTTCTTTCAACTGTTTCTTCTTTATTTTTTTCGCTTCTTGTTCTAAAGCCCAGACGTAGACTAGCACCAGTCCACCTGGCCGTGTAATTCGCACCAGCTCCCTGAGACCCGATAGACGCCGCTCTGCAGTGGAGAGATGATGAAGAACTGCGATACACAGACACACGTCAAACGCATTGGACCTGAAATAAAAGAAGACAAATTAGTAATAGTAATAGTTCTTTTTCAGTCACTTAGCTAAAGGCAAGCGTAGACGCGATGGCAAGGAAAAAGGGGTGGTAAAACACTTACATTTTCACATTTCTTTTCAAGTTGTTTTTTCTTTTTTCGATCTATTTTTTTATTGTTTTAAATTGTACTTTAGACTACTTTTTAAATGCACGTGAAAAACTCACCGTTAAGCCAATTCAACATGGGAGGCGAGGTGGCCTCGTGGTTTGTGCGCTCGTCTCCAGATCAAGCGCTCTGCGTTTGAGTCCTGGCCGGGGACATTGTGTCGTGTTCTTGGGCAAGACACTTTACACTCACAGTGCCTCTCTCCTCCCAGGTGTATAAAATGGGTACCGGCAAATTTAATGCTGGGGGTAATCCTGTGATGGACTAGCATCTTATCCAGGGGAAGTAGAAATATTCCTGGTCGCTTAATACTACAAAAACCGGATGTAAGCGCCGGCCTGATGGGCCACTTTTCTCGTATGCAGACTTTACTTTTTTAAGCCAACTCAACACTGGTGACTGACTATGAAATTTCGGTTCACCAAGAAATACCAGTTCTCGTTACTGATGTCATATATTTCTATTATTATTTTATTTACTTCTGAGAATTTGGTAGTACATCAAGACAAAATTAATTCACTGTTGGGAATCAAGTTTATTTCTATCCAGTTCCCTTTACCTGTATGGTAAGGCCAAGATGTCGCACACAATCACAGAAAATCCCCGCTCCCTGCAGATGGCCGCAAGGTTGACACTTCTATCAGAGCCAGTCTTGAATATGTTTTCATTGATCCCAAGATACTTTCCATTTCCACAGCCAACATCAGCCACCAGGCTTCCCACGGATTGCCCTCTTAAAAACTCCGCAATCTCTGGCCAGGGACTGTGGCGGGTTCCACTGAAATGAGGCGCTATCTTCTCGTACACTTCATGTACATGTATCTTCTCCAGGCTCTGAGCTTCTCCGATTGTCTTTGGGACATCAGAAGACGGTGGAACTGCAGATGAATTTTTATTGTCATTTTGCGAGTCGCACTGAGATGCGAAGGAACAGTTACAAGGAGTGTGACGAATTTTTCGGAGCGTCAGCGAGATTCTCGTTTGTCTTTCAAACAGAGTAGTTCCGTCTTCAGCTGTTTCTCTCGAGGTGCTCTCTGCGATATTTGATTGATGTTCCTCGGAGGGTCCACCACAACTGGCCCCCTTGTTTGATGTGCTTTTTGTACCATAGATGATATCATATTTCCGCGGTGTTATACTGAAACGAAATTAATTTGATGATCAATTTTTAACGCAACAGCATCAAAAAAACTAAGATGCGTCTGGTAAGCTAGGAGCGCATCTATATCACTAAAAAAGTCCACCAAAACTACCATTTTCATAGATGTTGTTTCAGTCTAATTCGTGTTTTGTTGGCATAAATTTACTTTG